ACACACACACACACACACACACACACACACACACACACACACACACACACACACACACACACACACACACACAAGAGAAAACACACATACAGAGAGAGAGAGAGAAAGAGAGAGAGAGAGTGTGTGTGTGTGTTTGTGTGTGTGTGTGTTTGTGTGTGTGTGTGTGTGTGTGTGTGTGTGTGTGTGTGTGTGTGTGTGTGTGTGTGTGTGGGTGGGTGTGGTTCCATCGAAATTTGTTTCCTTCCAAACTTGGCGTTGAAAAAAGAGGATTCGAACAAAATGCAACAACGTTCAGCGTGTTGGTCTAAGGACCTCATGTATGCCTATATGTATAGCTAGCCTATGTCTATATTTATTATAATAGTAATGTAATAATATAAGCTTATTTTTATAGTAGGCTATCATATAGAGCCTAGGGTGATAAATCTCTCTCGAGATGCACGTTCGAACCACTTTCAAGAGAAAAAAATAGAATTCGAAGGATGCCCAAATGATCCCAAATCATGATCGATGGGTGTTATATGAACTTGAAGATTAAGAATTTGAATTCGAACTTAGTCTAGAGTAGGCCTACATTTCAGGACAGGAAAAAAATGTACGGTATCTGGTATACAGACCTACTAATTAGACTATTCCTACACTTTTGTACAATATGTTGAATATAAAAAATTATGCCCCTTTGGTCAACAAGACTGTTGTACACGTACACGCGTCTCATAACAGATTATTCGGCAGTAAAAAAAAGTCCATAAAGTTTTGAAAAATGACAAAACGGGTTTCCCATCCCGGTCCAAAACGTCAATGAATGTAGAAATCTAGGCCCGAATAAAAAAATAGGCCGGCACTATTTCTCCGAACGTTCGGGAAAATCAAGCTGGGCACTATTTCTCCGAACGTTCGGGAAAAAAAATAAAGCTAGGCACTATTTCTCCGAACGTTCGGGAAAATCAAGCTGGGCACTATTTCTCCGAACACTCTGGAATCACATCCTTTCCGCAAATTTCGGATATTATATAGATCTATAATTATAGTATAGGCCTACCAAAGATTGTTCGTATACAATATGGTTCAATCGGTCCAAAAAATGTCCGCTGTAAATATTTATAAAGAAACGCTACAGTTCCAAACAGTTTTTCGCTACAGATATGACGTGTTGCCTATGAAGGGTGCTGCTCTTAAGTTAAACTTAATGTGTTGTGTTCACTCGTGTGCTGCCTAGTCTAGATCTACGGAGGGTTATTGATAACGACACATAGAACTAGCATAGATATTTGCGTTTGTTGCGGCTGCGACCAATCAATCGTGGCTCGACTTTTTGGCATTTTTTGGTCCCCAAATCGGAGGATGAAAGTCAAATTTAAAAAAAAGAAAGAAACCGAACCTCTTTACTTTTGAAAGAAAGTTCACCTAGCTTCACTTCGTCTCTTTCTCACTTGTTGTCACCACGTTGATTTGTTGAATACGTTACAGTTACTTTTATTTTTCCCTCTTTGTGGTGTTTTATTTTGTTAGTGTGTATTTTTTTCTTTCTTGTTATTGTTCTGATGTGTTGTTTTTCTATCAATGTTTTTTTAAAGGGGAAAAAGGGGGGGGGGGGTTTATATAGTGTAACGTCATTTAATTTGATGTTCCTACCTTCATTAGATTCTAAATATATACATATATAGATTTAAATGTGTTATGTTAGAGCGTACGTTCCACCAAAACCGATCACATGTACTGACACTGGCAGGCCCCTTAAATGTGTGTGATTCCATAATTTACTTGTAATATCCTGTACTTTGTTTTAAAATTACGCACATTAAGTGTTAAAACAGCCAATCTTCTTCGGACAGGTGGACTCACGCCCTTATTTGTTAATTTTTGTGGTTGTTTATGGGCTGTTCTAATTTTGATTTCATTCTGTTGTGAAACCTTTCTTTTTCACGTTTTTACACTCATCTAAAAATCTCTAGACTAGCCAGACTATCTCTTGAAAATTGAAATAGATATATAGACCTAAAAATTTGCTCCTGTGTGTGTGTGTGTGTGTGTGTGTGTGTGTGTGTGTGTGTGTGTGTGTGTGCATGTGCGTGTGTGAGTGTGTCTGTGTGTGGTAGTAAAGTGTGTAAGTGGAGAGTGAGGAGCGTGCGTGTGTTTGTTTTTCGGGCTTTATTCAGTAACAGTTCAAAGTATACAAAAATAGAAACACAGGATCCATTCAATCCAGGGCTCATGAGTCGTTCCTCTCTTTCAGTTTCACTCATTGATTTAATTCCCGTGTTCTCTCCGGCGGCTCATCCCCGTCCGCATGACTTTCACACTCCACCCCTCCCTCCGCCTCCAGGCACACACAAAGAAAATCTCACACATTCCCTTGCTCCCTGCGAACCATGGTCAAAAATATAGGCAAAACACTGCCTTAGCCGCATTCCTTTCGGTGTCGTCGTCTTGTAGTTGCTGTCGCCTGTGGATACACTCGTACATTCTTCCTTTCACTCATACTGTCTCTCCATTCACAGCTCAGCTCGTCATACGTTCAAAAGTTGCCCACTGATCATGTTTAGTTAATTTGTGTATACGTTTGTGTGTGTACATGTGCATGATGGTGGTGGGTGTGTGGTGAGTGTTACTGAAGATTGTCTGTAGGCGGGCTTGCCATGCGGTGTTCCATCACAATCCCAGACCACAGGCAGAATCATTGAGGCCCTATGACAGGTCGGCGGACAGATACCGGAGTGTCCTCTCCTTTTTCTCAGTCCGGTCCCCACTATGTAAGGGGATGAGGGAAGAGGGGGAGAGAGAGAGAGAGAAAGAGAGAGAGAGAGAGAGAGAGAGAGAGAGAGAGAGAGAGAGAGAGAGAGAGAGAGAGTGAGGCACGGAAGAGACAGACAGACAGACCGTTGGACTACCTGACGACATTCCCTTTCTATCCACCTTTGACCATCAAGAATTTATATATAGTGACACCAACCATCCATGTCCAGGAGCTGTTTTAGCCTTGTTATCTATCTTTGGTCACCCTCTCTCACACACCTTCCAATCCTCCACTTGAGGCTCCCTGTTGGTTTGGCACATCCCCCACAGTGCCAGGTTCACCGGTAAGTCCCCTCTCCGTTTTAGACACTTTCCCTCTCTCCTCTCTCCAGTCACACCATAGAACCCTCCAATTCAGGCCCCTGCCCGCTCCTTCCCATCCCCCGTAAACACCTTCCAATCCTCCACTTGAGGCTCCCTGTTGGTCCGGTTCATTCCCCCACAGTGCCAGGTTCGCCGGTGCGCTTTTCCCTTTCGTCAACCCGCAGCCACCTCCCGAATCGTCAGCCACTCCCAACCTTTGATACGGGTCAAATTTCCATCTATTTATAGGTAGTTACCGGAACATGTATAGGTGAAGTGATGTGCCGTGATAGTCGCGATATATTATTTATTGAGATTGTTTTGGTCTCTCTTTACTCATCACCACGAGAATTTCTTGAAGTTTCCCCCTGGACTCTGCCTTTACCAAAATCTCGAATCTAGATGTCTAGATCTAGATCTAGAGTTGTAATCTAGTGGCAGGTTGCAGATTTCTGTTGTCCAGTACATTCAAGAGATTAAATAAATTGGAATAGATCTAGACTCTAGACTCTAGTAATAGACTCTTCTACTTCTACTTCTACTTTTAAACCTTCGAGATCACAATAAAGGCCAAGCCTAGGCTTGTAAGGATTCGTTTGGTTAAAAGTGTTGTTTAACACAAAGTCTAAGAAGTTAGCAAACCTAACATTTTTTTCTAACGAAATGAAGCTTAAATTGACTTTTATATTGTCAATAAAAGATCAAGTTTAATCACCTAGATATCTAATCATTTAAGTAAGGAAGTGGCTATCCTCACTCGGGGTGAGAATAAAAACCCTAGGCCTACGATTGACCTCTCACCCCAGATGAGACTTGCCAGCGTTGGCTATTCTCACCCAGTGTGAAACAAGACCTGTTTTTCCTAATTTCGAAATACTTTCTATCGGTGTGGATGATCAAATTAACAAAAGCAAAGAAAAAAATTAAGTTATAGCACAAAACTAAGCTAATTTGATCGTCTACAAAG